GGGGTCAAGCCACTGCAGTAAGCAGATCCCAATCAGCTTACTGGGGGCCCTTGATGCCGGTGATGCCAATGGTGCTGATAATGCTGTTTTAGCTAAATTTGCTATGCCTTCGATTCTTGTGAATTTCAATCCAAATTATGCCAAAGTCCTTAAACATGTACATTTTGCTGATGTTTTACACATTTTCAAAAAAAAAATCCTAAATTTTAAGAAGTGGCCTCAAAACTCTTGAAACCTCAAGGAAAGACAGGAACTGAAGGAATTAGACCAGGAAACTATCCAAAAACATTGAATTTTTACAACTTTTCCAAAAATTCTAAATTTCAAGAAGTGGCCTCAAAACTCTTGAAACCTCAAGGGAAGACAGGAACTGAAGGAATTAGACCAGGAAAATAACTAAGAATTAAAAATTAACTAGCTACTTTTGGTTCACTTGTTCTCCTCTCCCCCTGTCTCTGTGTCTCTTCCCTTAACGGGAGACTGAACCCTGGCAGAGACAGGGGGAGAGGAGAACAAGTGAACCAAAAGTAGCTAGTTAATTCTTAATTCTTAGTTATTTTCCTGGTCTAATTCCTTCAGTTCCTGTCTTCCCTTGAGGTTTCAAGAGTTTTGAGGCCACTTCTTGAAATTTAGAATTTTTGGAAAAGGTGTAAAAATTCAATGTTTTTGGTTATTTTCCTGGTCTAATTCCTTCAGTTCCTGTCTTCCCTTGAGGTTTCAAGAGTTTTGAGGCCACTTCTTGAAATTTAGAATTTTTGGAAAAGTTGTAAAAATTCAATGTTTTTGGTTATTTTCCTGGTCTAATTCCTTCAGTTCCTGTCTTTCCTTGATGTTTCAAGAGTTTTGAGGCCATTTCTTAAAATTTAGGATTTTTTTTGAAAATGTGTAAAACATCAGCAAAATGTACATGTTTAAGGATTTTGGCATAATTTGGATTGAAATTCACAAGAATCGGGTGCAAACGGATGCTATTGTTAAAGTTTATCAATGTCCAAAGGCATAGCAAATTTAGCTAAAACAGCATTATCAGCACCATTGGCATCACCGGCATCAAGGGCCTGATCAGCATCATGACACTTGTAAGCTGAGCGTTTTTGGACACCCCCCCACTAAGCAGATTCCAAGCTGCTTACTGCAGTTGCTGTATATCACCCTGGTTGTTCCAATGCATGTCATTCAATCAGGAATAGGAACCGGAACTGCAGTTAGCAGATTTCTTTATCTGCTTACTACAGCTCCAGCTGTCGGGAAAGAACAGACTTTGGGGAACATTTGCTTGTGGTTGTGTTTGCTGGGCTTCTTATTGGACATCTCAGGAAAGCTTGTGGACGTGCGAGTGTGATGCCAAAGCACGGGCCAGCCACGTGGACGCCATCCCGGACACAGCTTGCAAGTTCACAAACATCGAGAACTTTATCAGTGAGAAGGACCTAGCAGCAATGAGGACGCTGAAAACAAAAGCCAAGAGGTATGAGAAATGGGTCAAGATTGCAAAGGGTGCTACATACAACAACAAAGCATATTGCTCACATCATTTGAAGATGCACCTCAACCTATTTAGTGTTCAAAAAGCAATTTTCAGTTGATACGCCAGGCCCACTTGTTTCTCCATAAATATATACACCTATACATATATTATTGAAAAACATATATATATATATATATGTATGTATGTGTGTGTCATTTCCACACCTGTCCAATTATATATACCCAGGTGCCAGATCCGGCGCCCCTTCATGGATGCAAGTGGGTCAATGTGCACTTCCTATTCAAGCTTGGGAAAAATGGATAAAGATGAATCAGAGAACTCGATTCTCCTCCTCTCCTGGCTATTTTGGCACATCAAAAACAAAACGCCTCTACTGATCCATGAGAATGTCACTGGCTTCTTGTCCAATTTGGTTACTGAGCAGGGTGAGACCAATGGTTATGGCCATCTGCAAGTCAAAGTTCGGCCATCAGATGTAGGAATGGCTGTCGGACGGATGAGGAAGCACCTCAGCTGCCTAAGTTTAAGTGCTGTCCAACGTTTCTACAGACTGCAGTAAGCAGAAGTTTGTCACCTGCTTACTGCAATTGGATCATTTTTGAAATAATCTAAGAACTTTATCCTTTGCATTCAGCAAACCCGGCATGCAGGTTTGACATTCTGTTCCACAAGGACGTCTTGGAGTGCACTGGCAGCGTGGACACATTGTATTCTTTACTAGCTGGCAAAGTGAAGGAGCAGCTTCCAGCATGCAGCGCTGCTGATTTCTTCTTCGAGCAAGATGAGGCTGCGCTTCGTTTGGAGATGAAGCAGTGCTGCAATGTGAAATGTGAAGGAGACAGGGTCGGCTTCAAGGGATGTTGTTGCCCGTTTCCCGTTCTCTTGGACTCAGGTGGCTGGCAATTGTGATGGCTCAAGCGCTAAACAGGTATTCAGACCCCAATTTTTGCCATGCCTGAGCCATGCCAGTGTGGGGAGTGGGCAAGCAAAAGGGGTTTGGAAGATCCAGGTCCTGCAAGAGACCCACGACCTAAGCCACCCAAAAAACGCCCAAAAGGAGACTCTGTGAAATTGAAGCTGGATGAAGAGGACGTCAAAACAAAGGCTGTCGAGACAGAGGACCTCAAAACAGAGGTCAAAACACGAGAGCTGACCGCAGAACCTGTGGGAGAAGGGCCAACACAAGAAAGCAAGCCTGAGGGTGACCTGCCTGCCGGCTCACCAAAATCATCTGGGATTGCTCTTCCACCTGGCGCGTTGCAACCAGGGCGGTGCACGCCTGTGCCAAGCCCAAACCATGAGCGCTTGAGGCAGTGGAAAAAGCCACGCGCCCCTCTAACGGCTGGATTAGTGCGGCCATCTTGATTTAAGCAGAAGTTTGCACAAAGGCAAGCTCTGGCAAATGCCAGAT